AACTAAATAAATAAATAATCAAAAATCTATTTTTCATGCTCAAAACATCCCTTAAGCAATCTAGCTAGATTAGTATATCTCTATTCCTTTTCTACACTCTGTTGTATTAACAACACCACCACTGGACGTTAGGCTGTAAATTGCAGGGGCAATGCCATGCTCCCTCCTGAATTTTCACATATCGACTGGCCACATCTATCTAAGTTCAAAATTGCTATATTTTCTTCTTTCACATGTTGCTCCAAAGTGTTATAAGAAGCAAGCTATTTCATTTCTTTGGTAATTTTTAGCATTTTATACTATTTTTAACTTTGATTTCCAGGCTTTTCTTTCTTTCTCTTAAACTTAGAAGCTAAAAGATAAGTGCAAGCATTTTTCATCTTTTCTCTAACTTTGTCCTATTTTAAGTCATTCATATATATATATATATAATTTGCGGTGCACTGCACCCCCATCTATGCACTACAATACAGTTTGTGAGCTTCAGGCAAGGGGCTGGACTTTGAAATACACAAACACACACAGAGACAGACAGACACAGGGACGTCTAATCCCTGGTAAGAAGCCCTTTATTCAATAGCACCATGGAGGCTTATATACCCAACAGTCAAGTGGGCCAACAGGTGAAAACCTTATCCTCTAATCCTCAAAGCAAGGCACAGCTTTTAGTAACTCTAATCAGAAGGCTCAAGCAGGGAAGAGCATCCTGAAGGCCAGGACTCCAAATGGTCCCAACAATAATTTTACCTTCACAAAGTATAATATTTTTTAAACTGCTATAAAAACGGTGAAATAAATAAATAATTCTGGATCATTTGTTTATACCAAATATTACCAACTAGGTATCTTCTTTATATATAAACTTGTATTCATTCACAATATCTGTATCTAGTGGAGATAATTATACTTCTTCAACAGTTGTTCCATTTATAACCATTTGTGTAGGAGAGTTTAAATTATGTTAATTGCCATAAATAACATAGAAATAGACTCTCAGTTACAGACGCTTTCAGTCATTCTCTGGCTTCACACCTCTTCCACATACAGAAGCCAGCTTCAAATTCTGCTGAAAGCATCAGCATTTAGGCTCTAAGAATGAATTTTATTCCTCCAAGAATTAACTACTACTCAAAATAACAGATACAGGGCTTTTATGTATATACGACTACAAATCTGCATTGAATTTATAAATGAGTTTACATATTTGATATTTACAAAATTTTATAATAAAGATTAAAAAAATTCTTTTACTAGGCAAGTGTCAGGCAATTAATGAAAACCACTATGTTGAATTGGAAGAAATAATTCAAATGATTCTTAAATAATTTACAAAATTTGAATGCCTTATTTCTGTCATTCAGAAACCTACTGAACTTTGTTAATCACGTTTTGTGTTAAGATGAAGTTCATTTGACATATAGTTTTACTAGCTGCAAGGTCCAAGAAGTATGCCATCAGTGTCCTGTGGAAGGAAATCATGGGTGGGATCCAGCATGACTAAGAAACATAAATCAAAACAGCGACCTACACAAAGAACCAAATATGCTGTTGTATAAACTTACTTTATAACAGCCATCCTCAATTTTTAAGTCATACTAATTTTTTGACCTATGACCCAGCACACACTATCATTAAAGCTTTAATTTATTACAGTAATGGAGTAAAGTCTCAATTACTTTCCAAAAGTCGTATCTCTTTAATGCTCCATCAACACAAACCCACTGGGATCAACTTGTATGTAGTGAACATTCAGAGATAAACTACATCTAAACCACAAAACATACAAAAGTCTGTTCTGTATTGCTGGTGGAAATGCAAGCTGGTACAGACCCTTTGGGTGTCAGTGTGACGATTTCTCGGACCCAGTAATACCACTTTTGGGTATACATCCAAAGGATGCTCAATCGTGCCACAAGGACATGTGCGCAACTATGTTCATAGCAGCATTGCTTGTCATAGCAGAACCTGGAAACAACCTAAATGTCCCTAGACTGAAGAATGATAAGGAAAATGTGGTACACTTACACAATGGAGTACTAAACAGCAGGAAAAAAAAATAACAACATCTTGAATTTTGCAGGAAAATGGATGGAGCTAGAAAACGCCATTTTGAGTGAAGTAACCCAGACCCAGAAAGACAATTATCACATGCACTCACTAATAAGTAGTTTTTAAACAGAAAACAAAGAAAACCAGCCCACAAATCACAACCCCAGAGAACCTAGAAAACAATGAGGACTCTATGAGAGACACACATAGATCTAATCTACATGGGAAGTAGAAAAAGACAAGATCTCCTGAGTAAATTGGGAGAGGGTTGAAGGGGAGAGAAGAGACAGAGAGGAGAGCAAAGAAAAATGTAGAGCTCAATAAAAATAAATTTTAAAAAGTCCATTCTGTCCATTCTTCATACTCTCGAGGCCCTTTTTCTTTCCTGGGTAGTTACTTAAAATTACAAATCTCTGTCAATACACTTTTGCAGATAGAAAAATTATGAACTGCTTCCACAGTGGTGAAGAGGACCAATTTTGTTTTCAAAATGCCTAGGTAAAACTACTTGATCTGAAATTCAGCCAAAAATAGTCCTTCATGATTCAGGTTAGTAATGGAGATAATATGAGGAACTATATTATGTTCTGAATTATATAACCTGTTATATAAATCAATTGTCTTCAGTTTTTTTTTTTATCATTTTACAGAAATTGACCAGAAACTATCTCTAGGTTTCTGTAACTTGATAGGTTCAATGAAAAAGATAACAGTTATAGTGTTTGCATTTCATGGATCATACAATAAAATTAAAAAGAAATTTTCTTGTAAGGGTGAAAATATGAACTGAACATCTGTAATCTAAAAACAAATGATCCAGGTTAAAGCGGCTACTGAAGATTCTTAGACTCAGAAATACAATATTTTGACATTCACACTGCAACACATTTTTTAATTTGACACATATTTGCACTCAGAGAATAATCTTCAAACAAATGAAACAGATGTATATTAATATCAGATTGGAAAGGCGCAGTTGGAAAATATTCTCGGGTACTTGTTAAATCAATTCTCCCAAAGGCAAAATATTCTATTCTCGCATTGCCATTTACAACACAGCTTTCTTCTACATGACACAGAAGAAATTGTAGATGTGTCATATTCTTGTATGCACCACTGAAGTTATTTCATTGACATAATTTATCTTTTTTAAGCAAAAATATCTTTGTAAGAGGAAGGAAATATTGGAATAAATTAAATTTGCAGCTAAGTAAAATGGAAGGCAAGCAAGCTTCTAGGTATATGATTGAGGTGATTAACTAAATCACGTGATAAATCATATAATATATAAACACATATCATCAGTAATAAATCATCTACTTAATACCATATACAACTTGTAGGCCATAATAGAAGTGCAATATAAATAATTAAGAGAATTAAGGAAAATATAAAAATTTATATCTATGTTTTATTTTCCAGGCTTGTGCTTTAGCATATGTGAACTTTTATTGTTGTGCAGAATCAAAAAAGATTTCTTAATGGTTTCCTAAAATAAAGTCTAACAATGGTATATTTTTCCTGTCATGCTTTGTATAAATGGTCCTTGAATGTTTAGGTGTTGATTTAATAATCTACAGGGTGGTGTTATCAGTATGTAGTGCATAGTAGGAGGCTGTTATGCAATTAAATGTTTCTGAAGAAGCATTGGGATCCCAGTTTCTCTCTTCTCTCTCCCTTCTCCCTTCACTTCCTTCATCTCATCTTCTCCTCTGCACTTCTCTCTCTCTCTCTCTCTCTCTCTCTCCTCTCTCTCTCTCTTTCTCTCTCTCTTCTCTCTCTCCCTCTGCTTCCTGGAAATGATGAGAGCAATTTGCTCCATCATACACACCTCAAACTGCTGTGACATTTCCTGCTCAGCATGATGGTAAGTGATGGTAAAGACCAAAACAATGATTGCACAAAACATTTCCAAAGGACTATAAGTTCTTCTACATACATGTCTACTGGTTCTTAGAATAGATTCAACCTAAATCCATTATCAAGTGAACATTGAATAAATAAAAGGAGAATATATAAAATGAATAGTTATTTACTCATAAAGTGAAAGAAAAACTGTAAGATTAAGAAAAAAATGAAAAGAATTGAAAACAGGAGCAACAAGCCAGATTCAGAAATTCAAACATCTCATGATTTCTATAATTTCAAATGTCTGTAGTTGTTTCATTATATTTGCAATTTTTAAGTATTATGCTTTTCTTAAGATTTGCTTTTAGTTATATAGATGGATGTGAGTATGTGCACTCAGAAGCCAAGAGAGGATGTCATATTTCTTGGAGCTGGAAATATAAGAATTTGTGACAAATCCAACATGGGTGCTAGGAACTGAACAAATTCCTCTGCAAGAACAGCAAATACTTGTAAATTCTGAGTCATATCTTCAGTTCCAGGCTGTCTGAAGCTTCAGACATGTTTTACAAGTTGAGTCTATATCAGATTAAGAAGGCAAAACGAAATGGAAAGTTAGGCAAAGATTTAACACAAGGTAAATGAATGTAAATGAGTTGGGATTATTATAAACTGCCAGAGCTAAATACTGAAGTTTATATTTTTGTTCAATGTGTTAATAAGGTCCAGTATGGTGGCACATGCCTTTTTCAGCACTTGTAAGGATGGAGGAGTTTCAGGCCAACCTGGTCTACATTGTGAGTTCCAGAACAGCCAGGACTACATTGAGAGATTTTGACTCAAACCACCAAACCAAAGCCCAAACACATTAATAAAGTAGAAGTATTAAAACTTAAGTATATATTAGAATGTGACTGTGATTTGTAAGCTTACTCAGTAAAGATAAGTGACAGGAAACTTTAATCTTAGAATTTTAGATGTCAGAAAACCCAAGCAAAAGGAACTCTCACCCTTGTCCTTAAATCACAGGGTTCTAGTTCTCTTTATGACATCACCTTTCCACATTACCAAACTTAGGCCCTGGCAAGTCACAAGTGGGAGAAATGTCTATACCAAGATTGTAAGTCTTCATGTTATATTGTCTTTTCTCTAAAGTGATGCTTATCATGTTGTTACTCAGCCAATCATAAACATGGGTGAAGGTTTTAATAAGGCCCTCACTCATGTGCAATAGTGTTAGCTACTCCAATGTAAGATATTTTTGTTCTACTTCAGTAAAATTTAGAGACTTGGACTTTTGTTTCCTTTTTTCTAGAAGTCTTAATTTAATGTCACAAATTATTTGGAGATTATCAAATGACATAATGAATTATTGTTAACTAGGGGCTTATCATCTCTCTCTGAGCCACTTACAAATTTCTGTCCAAATAAGTTAGGAAAAAAAAACTAGATAGATGGAAAGATAGATAGATAGATAGATAGATAGATAGATAGATGGATAGATAGATAGATAGATCCAGTACCTTTAAATTATTTAAAATTGGTGAAGAGAACCTGAAGGTGAGATGAAAGGATGGAATTCTGGGATATAAAGGGAAGACGGGCCTTTTAAAGATTTAACAATTCCTGTAAATTGTAGATGATCTATTCTGTATAAATGTGAATATCAAAGAAACTTTCCCATGGGCCCCAATGACTACTTCTTTGGAAAATATTGTTACTTAAAGAAGAGTCTGAAAATGCTTTGCATGCATTTGTCATAAATATGTCTAAATTTCGATAGATCTGGATATATAAAACTAAGCACTCTTCTGGAAAATAGCATGCTATCCTGGAACTTATTCTGTAGACCAGACTAGCATCAGAGTTAGACATCTCCTGCCTCTACCTCCCTTGTCTGGGTATTGTATCACATCAATAGGAAAAGCATTAAGACAAGCTCTATAGTATTAATCACCACCATTCTACACCTACTTCTCCGATATTAGCCATTCTATCTTTTATCTCTGAGATTATCTCTTCCCTGACTTTCTATGCTACCTTAGTTTCCAAATGCAATATGTTTGAATTCTCTTTCTTGTTTTCACATCTCTTTAAAGTACAGTATAATGTATTTGTTGGAAATACTTCCAAATATTTGATGTGGCATTTAATTTTTATGAACAACCCTATTGGTGGAACTTTTGGGGGGTACACTGCATTTCCATACTTATTTGTTTAAATAAATTTAAATTTTTATTCTCTCTATTTCTTTATTAATATACTGACTATTCAACACAAAGATATTTTCTCATCTTTTAATAAAGGCAAGGAAATAGAATCAGCCTAGGTGTCCATCCAAAGATAAATAGATTGTGAAATTATGGTATACAGAGTGGAATTTTATTCGGTGGGGGAGAAATGACACTAAAAGTTTGTAGGGAAATAGATGAAACTAAAAAATGTTTTAGTAAATTAAGTAACCTGATATGTGTATGTGTGTATGTGTGTGTGTCTCTGTGTGTAAGATACATAGAGTGAGAAAGGCAGGGAGAGAGGGATTTCTGGGGGACAGTATCAACTAAATCTAAATATGTGTGAAAATAGCACAAGGAAATTTGTTTTGTATGCCAATTCAATAAATCAAATAAAAATAACCAGAAATTGAGAGACCTGATAAATGAAAGAGTTCTGCCCACCGTGGGTGGGTCTTCCCACATCAGTCATTGTAATCAAGACAGTCCCTCATAAGCATTCTTTCCCTCCAGTGATCCTATACTGTAATCAACAATTAAAGCTTACGATCACACAAACAATTCAAATCTAGAACCTTCGTATACTCATTTAAAATGCATTGCTTTTATGGATTCTATTAACTATTTTATTTACTCACTCAGCTCCACATGAATAGAGATATATTGACTGTTCTTTACAGTCTCCTTGCTTCTATTGCCTTTGGGCATGGGATGGATACTAGCTGCAGTGCTCATGGGAGTGAGTATTTTGCTTTCAGATTATAGGAGAAAGTTCATCATAATTTACTGATTTTAATGTTAACAGCACATAGTTTCTAGACTCACTTTATTGAAATTTGGAAGATATTTTCTAGGTCCATTTTTTCCAATAAATGAATGAAATATAATTGCATACTATTGTTTTCATAATTGGTTCACCATATACTGAATTGATCGCATTATGCTTATTTATTATTTTCATTTAGGATGAATTTGCCAGTTGATCTTATTTTTAACTAAATTATATTGTTGAGTACAAACCTCAGTCATAATATCATTTGGCCCATCAATTTATTTTTTAGTAGAATATGTTTAAATTTAAAGTATTATGGATTTGATTATTAATGAGTTTTTTTTGTAATACTAAATTTAATAATAATCTTGGAAGCTTGGGGTATGTTAATATTGGCCCAAAGAAAGATTCAAACTCTTTTCTCCCCTCCTGGTTGCTTTATTCTGTTTAACTAATTTTATGCAAAAATTCAGTGATTTTAAACAATTGCTATGCATAATGAGATATTAAATCTGTAAGTTCTGTTTTGCAAACTATTTTAATGTCCTATTAGTTTGAAACATTATTTTGCATTTAACTCTTAACTTTAAAAAAAAAGTCCTCATTAACATTAAATCAGAACAATTAAAATTCTCAGTTCTGTATGTCCGTCTACCAGAAAATTGCTCTTCCATTGGGACAAAGTGTGAACATTAATTCTAACTTTATACATATAAAGTTATACATATATATATAAGTAAATTATACATATATATATACACATACACACACACACACACACACACACACACACACACATATATATATATGTAAAATATAGGCAATAAAGAGGCGGTTTATTGTATGAAGTGGTTGTTGTCCGAGCATAAGGACAGGAGTCTAACCAGAATACAGGTAGCTGTCATTAGTGCGTGAATGCTTGGTTATAATCACAGAGCATGGAAGGCAAAGACAGAATTGCTAGAGAAAGCTAGTTTGATTCACTGAATCAGTGAGCTCTGGGATCAAGTGAGATAACATGCTTCAATACATATTGAAGAGAATCATTGAGTTTGACTTTCTGATATATATATATATATATATATATATATATATATGCACATGCATCAACATGCACTTTTACCTGCACATAATACAGACATGCATACGTATGCATACAACATACACATACATATCCAACTAATAAATTTAAAACTGAGATACTAGGTTTACATAAGTATATAATTAATACTCAGATTCATTCAGATCAACAAAAGATATCCTTTCGTTCCATAGTAGAACATCATAGGACAATCATACTAATGCATATTACCATTGGTCTTTGTTTAAACAAATAAAAAAAGTTAAAAAAATATTCTTTCCTTCTAACCAATATTTCTCAATGATTAAATCAGGTAAGTTAAAAGTTATTGATGGAAATCTGTTTACAAAATACCTTATTAATTTGTTTTATTTTTCTAGATTATGTACACAATGTAATTCTTTGTCAATACTTAGAGTACACAATCCTGACACATACACATGCCCATAAACATATATTATTTAATGACCTAGATTTTGCTAACTTATGAGAAGATATTATTTGATCTAGTTAAACATGGGTTATAAAGTGATATCATAGCTAAATGTCAATCAATTCCAAGAGGATTTGTGCTATTACTTAGAAAAATAACTTGATCAGTGTTTTAGAAATTAATTTAAAAAGACTCTAAAATTCGGATGTGACAAGAAGGTAGGTAAGTATATGTGTACCTTTCTCTCACACCTACATATTCTTCTCATCCTAACTTAGTTTTGTTAAGGTTGGAGTAATTTGTTCATCCCTACTCTCCTGTAGATGAAATCAACTTGCATAATAAGGAGAATCCAATAATTGTCTAATAGGTGGTGTTTTTTACATACAATAATGATCATTTGATATATGATACTTGTCTAAAAAATTTTTAATTTTCTCTTTTATTTTAATAGCCTAAAAGTAACATATGGACCATATGATAATTATATTCCAGGTAAGATGCAAGATCAATATTTATTTTTTGAATGCAAGATTTTATTTTTAAATATTTTTCCTTTCTATTGAGAATAAATTATTTTCGCTTTTCCTGATTACAGTTTTCCTTCCTTCTAAACCTCCTAGTTCCTTCCCTCCACTTCCCCTCATCAGGATCTAGTCCCTTTCTGTCTCTCACTAGAAAAAAACAGGCTTCTAAGAGAAAAATACAAAACTTATCAAAATAAAATATAGTAACAAGACAAAAACCACCACATCCAAGTTGGATGCCCAAAATAAGGCCCAAGAGTTAGAGACCCGCTCATTCACACAGTCAGGAGTCCCATTAAAATCTCTAAACTACAAGTGTAGTATACAGTCAAGGACCTGGTGCAGACCTGTGCAGGCCTTGTGATTACTCATTTAGTCTCTATGCATTCGTATGACCTCTGTGAAGATAGATTTGATATTTTGGTGACCTCCATCCCTTCTGACTTTTCCACTTCAATTTCCATAGGTTTTCTGAGTCTTGAGGAGAGGAAGTTGACACACATATTCCATTTAGAACTATCTCTCTCTCTCTCTCTCTCTCTCTCTCTCTCTCTCTCTCTCTGTGTGTGTGTGTGTGTGTGTGTGTGTGTGTGTGTGTGTGTGTGTACATCTTTGTATTTGTTTCCATCTGTGGGAGGAAGCCTCTCTGGTGATGGCTGAACAAGGCACTGATCTATGAGTATAGCAGAATATCATTGAGTCATTTTATCACTGTCTTTCTTCTTTTTTATCACTTTTTCTTCCTTTTCTTTTAATAATGTTTGGTTTCATCTTAGCTCTTTGGGCTATCTAGTCTCTGAATCTTAGTCACCAATCAAAGTTCGGTATGGGTTCTATCTCATAGACTGGGCCACTCAGATATTAGTTCATTATTCCTACAAGCTTTGCTTGATTAATTTTAGACGTGTGTTTATTATCTTCAGTTTAAAGTCATATAAGCTGCTGTGGTCTCTAATTAATATGCTATGCTTATTTGCCAAAGAACCTTTCTCATGGGCACAGGGAATACATTTCACATAGGTACATATTGTATATATTTGGTTTTAAATTTTCTGAAATACTTTGATTTTAGAAATAATATAACATGGGTTCTTGAATTTGAAAAGTGATGAAGAAATAGAATGAATACATTTAGCCCAGAATCTTTTACTGAATTCCAGGTTGTTTATATTTAGCTCATATCAGTGCTAGAAAAGAAAAATCTGTTTAATATTGAATAGCTTTTAGTAGCAGCTTGTTTTCTCTCTTCAATTAAACTTCAATATGACATTTATTCTGCACATTTGAGCACTGATTCTAATGTCCTTTGGAAAGTAGCAAGTCTTTTTTCTAAAATTGGAATATTTAATGTGCACTACCACAGCAATGGTGTTCCTCATTGACCTCAGTTGTCACTGAAGCACCCAAATAATTTCTATTGCTATTTCTGGTAACATCACTGTCTCAGTCCCATTTTGTATTTATTTACCTTTTTTTTTATTAAACTAACCTTCTATAACAGCATATCTTTTTAGTATATACTACATGTCCTCTTACAGCTGAGAAAGGGAATGTTAACTGATGGGATTTTAAATCTGTAAATTCAAGCATGTATTTTCTGCATATGTTATGTAAAAAAATGAGCTAAGTTCTTTGGTGGCTACAGAAGAATTTACACATTATCTTTCTGATCTAGATTATATTCAAATCAAAAAAACATATGGCTAGAATCTAAACTGGAAGAGACAGCAATATTAAAATGAGAACAGTAGTACTCTTTTTCTTCCTTTATGTTATAGGCCACACTGATTTCATTATGGGTACTTTATATAGTTACTGATCAAATTAGTCATTTATTTTAAAATCTCTCCATGTAGAAAATAAAAGTTTCTCATTTTGATCACTGAAAAATTTAAACTATCAAATAAATGAAGCTATAATTTGCATCATTTATTTATTTGTATGATATATGCACTCAGGGACACTTCAGTTCAGACAAGATTCTATTTATAGCAAAGCATATGTTGTCTTTCTTATTTTAGTCAGTGAATTAAGCAAAAAATCATGGAATCAGCAATACTTTTCCCTGGCATTTCCCAAACCACCAAGACCAGGAAAAAAACGGAGATCACTACCTTCCCAGTTACGAAACAATACAGCTCCTGTGAGTATAGGAAAATATCATGTATATATTAGTAACTACTACTTAGGAACAATAATCTTGCAAAGTCATAAATACATTACTAACTTCCCTGTGTGGGTGAGGGCTAACATGAGTCCTCTCACGGTGGATATATTTTACATAATTGCCACCCCTCTTTCATTATTGTTCATAGCTTATTGTATGCTTACTGCTCATTCAGTACTCGCACCTATAATATTTTGTTTACAGAATAAGAAAAGAAAAGTCAAGATACTTTAATTCATAATTAGTATTAATAGCTAAAGGATGTTCCCCAGATATAAACCCTCACAATAGGGTCATTTTAGACTCTCCTAAGAATGAAGAGAGGTTCTGATGTGTCATGCATCCCTGGAGGTCTCTAACAAATTTTAATATTAAATCTTAAAGAAAAATTGTAGTTCCTCTAAATTGAAAGCAGACCACAAGTAGGGACATAATTGCTCATTACTTTAAATTATAATGAAATTCAATTTGGAATAGACTTTAAAATCCATTATTAATCCACTGTTTTTCAAAACAGATTTTGAAAATATTCAAAAATATTTCCATTTGAAATTAAAATATGTATGTGGTATTTTACTGCTAAAGGCTATATAACATGTTTTTTTCTTATTATTCTTACCAATATTGAGGTAATTGATGAAGAAAAATTAGGAATTCACAGACCACCATTATGGATGCACCGTTCTCTGATGAGAATTTCCGAGAGACCATCCGTTTATTTAGCTGCCAGGAAGGGTCTTCCACCGAAACCATCTCGTTCTGGCAAGGGGGAGTCTAAAGTAGCAAGCCCACACAAAATTTCGTCTTCAGAGAAAACAAAGAAAGAAGAGAAAGTGAAAAAAGGTGAATCTGAAGCCAAAGAGAAGACAGTGTCAAAGAAAACCAAGGAAGAAAGTGCCAAACAAGTTGCTAAGAAAAGTTCAAAGGAATCCCAGAAGGATAAGGTGTCAGTCTCAGAATCTGACAGTGTAAAGGCTGATAAAAAGAAAGAAGCCAAAAAAGGTAAGAAGGAACCAAAGGATAAAGGATCAGTCTCAGAATCCGAAGGTGAAAAGGCTAGTGAGAAGAAAGAGGCCAAAAAAGGTAAAAAGGGGACAAAGGATAAACTGTTACTCTCAGAGTCTGAAGGTGAAAAACCTGGCGAGAAGAAAGATGCCAAAAAAGATAAAAAAGGGACAAAGGAAAAAGAGAAAGCAGTCTCAGAATCTGAAAGTGAAAAGCCTGGTGGGAAGAAAGAAGCCAAAAAAGGTAAGGAGCCAAAGGGTTCCAAGGATACACCTGCATATTCAGAAGCTGACAAGCCTGGTGAAAAGAAAGGAAACAAACTTACTAAAAAGCCTTCAAAGATCAAAGAGACACCTGTAGATTCTGAAAGTGAGAAGGGAGGTTTAAAGAAAGAGGGCAAGAAAGAAATCAAGAAGAAGGAAAATAAAAAGGAAAAGAAGGCAGGAGATTCAAAGGAGGATGCTAAGAAAGACAAAAAAGACAAGAAGAAAGACAAGAAAGACTCTGCAGGTGATTCCCCTGTTTCAAAGAAGGAGGAAAAGAAGGCAAAGAAAGAGAAGAAGGGAAAGTAGGTCCTGGATGAGAACTCAAACTGTACGTAGAACTCCAAAGTATATTCAGTGAACCAACCTCAGTAGTCATAGAATGAGCCCATGAGATAGAAGAAGAGTGCAGTAAATTAATCAAATAGTTTTAGAGAAGAGAAAACACAATGTGAAATGAAAATATAGCCAGTGTTAGAAAAACAAAAGGACTAAGAAAAATACATAGGATTCATTGAACAACGTGGAAGATACCTATTCTAAAATTATAGCTACGGAGTTTTAAAAGTAAAATCACTAGAAACATTCAAGAATACACAAATAAACATCCAGAAAACAGATAGAGAAACAAACAAAAAGAAACAGTATTCAGTAAGGACTTTGCTTAAAAGAAAGAAAGAAAGAAAGAAAGAAAGAAAGAAAGAGAAGAACTCCAAGAACGCTTGATGCTGTCTCTAGATTTAATGATGTAAAGCTAAGTTGAGTTTGTACAATTAAAGAAACAAGATGGCCAAGAAAATCAGTGTTTAGAAAATAGAGTTTGAGCTGAATAAATATTCAAGATGGTTTTAAGAAGAAAACACAGAGGAGGAAGGGAGTAAAGGAGTGAGTAAAAAGGCAGGAAGGGAAAGACTTAAAAAAAGACAAGACAGGCAAAAACCATCATTCTAGGAAGAAGACAAAGAAAACCTTAAGTTTGCAGGACTGTCAGAGTTTGAAGTGACCACAAGACTGAACCACTTGTAATTTCTGATGGACGTTCTTGGTAAGTTAGATTTGTGTTATTTTAATTCAAATTGGATTTAAAATAATTTATCCAACTGCTAGCTTAAACCTGACACTTAAGGTTCTTTTACTCAACTGTTACTTTTATTTTAGATTTTTATTTTATGATATTTGGATCTTCTAGTTATAAGAAATGCATGCCTATCATCAAACAAATGGCTTATTTTAAAATGTCCATTTAAAGGTTAAGAGAAATGCAAAGCATTTTGGTACAGAGAGATTGTGACCTTAAAGTTACAATAGCATGTTCTAATAGAAGAAATTGTGCCACCTTTCTTTTTAAAGCTGCAAAAAAATTATCAAAACTCTTTATATAGTTAAATTCAGCATCTGGCTGACTTTGTCTTAGCATCTTTACTTTTCTACCTCTATCATTTCTGTTATTACATCTACTCTTGAAGTTTTATGTCAGTTAATCCTATATTTTAACCCAGTATTGACTATCTATAATTGCTCAACAATGCCCTGATTATTTCTGATATTTGGTAGTTCCTAATACAACAACTATGTAGCTATTCAAAATTTTCTGTGAAGATTTATTTTGAAGGTAAACATATGCCTTCATATTCACATACATATATACCAATATGCTTACAATAGAAACTGCCAAACTTCCAAAGAGCTTATAACATTTTGTACTCATAGCATTTTGTTATCACCACACTACTGTAGACAGAAGTTTCTGACCTGCCCAGTCCCGCAGCTATTCAGTCCCACAGAACACATGAAAGCTTATATTAACTATAAACTGTTTGCCCTATTAGCTCAGTCTCATCATTAACAAACTCTTACAACTTAAAATAACCCATAATTTTTGTCTATGTTTAGTCACTTGGCTTGCAACCTTTTCTTAGTAAGGTATTCTCATCTTGCTTCCTCTGTGTCTGGCTAGTGACTTCCTCTCTGCCTTTCCTCTTCCCAGAATTCTTTTAGTTGGGTCATCTCGCTTGTACTTCCTGCCTGGCTATTGGCCAATCAGTACTTTCTTAAACTAATAAGAGTGACAATTCTAATAGTGTACAAGTGTATTATCCCGTCGCACTTTGCCTTTCTTCACTGCTGTCCATTTGCTGTATTTTGTTCATCCAGATAAAGATGTACTGGTATTTCCTTGCCCCATTTTGGGATTTTCTCATCAGGTATTCTCTGGAAGATTTTACATTTTGCTTTTGGGATTATACATAGAAGTCTTTGCCAAGATCCTTGTTCAAAAGGTTCCCTTTGCTTTTGCTTATTATGATTTTATAGCTTTCAGGCACTCAATTTAAGTCTTTTATTTACTTTAAGCATATATATATATATATATATATATGAATTGAGAAAATGATCTGATTCCTCTCTTATACATATGGATCTCCAGTTTATCTATCAGTTTATTAAAAAGGTGATTTTTTTTGTATACCTATGGCATTGATATAAATGATTGTTGACTGTACAACTGTATTGCAAACTCGGTGTTCAGTGTTCTGATGGGTCCAATGTTGGTTTGAGTGATAATTTCCCTCAGAGGGATCTGAATTTGAATTCTTGCCCCCAATTGATGGTGCTGATTTGGAGGTTTGAGATGTGGATTTTCTGGAGGAAGTGTGCCACCAGGGTTGGGTTTTGAGAATTTAAAGACATGAGTCAATTCTAGTCTGTTCTCTCCTATTCATCAAATCTGATTTAATTTTATGTATGATATAAGTGTCCAATTTAACTCTTTGACACAATAATATGTAGTTCTCCCAGTTATTTTTATTGAAATATTCATGTTTTTTTCTATTGTACTTCTGTCAACTTTCTACAAAAGCTATTAGACAAGATTACAAAGGTTTACATCTGCTCCTCTAACCTTTCCTATAACTTCATGTGTCCATTTTATACAAATATCATGCCACTTTAATTATTATAGGCTTTTAATAATGTATAATTTTGGGTATTAGAGTAAACACAGCTGTGATGCTTTTGCTAAAGATGTCATTGTCTTGTTCTTTTATTCCTGTTTGTATTATTTTAAACTTGAGAGGAATTGTTTTGCAGTCCAGGCTGTCTTCATTCCTATGACCTTAATGACTAGCCCCAAGTACTAGAATTACATGCAAGCACTGACATGTCTGATTCTAGCCATCATTTTTGAGTTCCTTAATACATGATCAAAACATTGCACTTGTGAACTAATACTCTGACACCTTTTAAATTAGTACATCAGAAAAGGACCTGGATTTGTTTCTTCGTATAAAGGTCTTGAAGCTCACAGCTGGCTGAAATTTTGGGTCAAGGGGATCTAATAGCATGTTCTTTAGTTTTTGAATTCTTGCATTCATGTGTACATACAGGCACATGGACATAGATAATGCAATATTACAAAATAAATCTTCATTATCTTCCTTCTATGACAAGAATCTATAACTCAGAAAAGAATGCAAATGATGGAGGTTATCAAACAAAGGAATAGGAAATTTGGCCAAGGCAGCAAATATCTATTTAGACTACTTATCTGCATAGTACCTCTGATAAGTAGTACTGAGAGAATATTTAAATGTACTCACCAAACACAGACTCACGCATACTACACACGCACGTATGCGTGCACATGCACGCGCGCGCGCGCACACACACACACACTATATTAACCACTTAGTACATCTATACACATATATGTATATGTTAGCATGCTAACTGGTTAATTTGCCTGCTTAATTATGAAGCAAAATATCTGCTGTGTTTTAAATTATAAATAAGTTAAATTATATTTTACTAACTTGTGATTATAACAAAAATAAAACATAATCCCTTGGATACGTATGTAACTATACATTTGTATATAAGTCTTCATTAGTTCTTGTTTTGGCACTTTTGTAACTTTTGTAGATATTTTTAAAAAATTAATCACTCACCCATACGCTGTAGTATAATTATATGTAGCTATACTACATATAATTCATATGCATTATATTTGTTAGTCTATATCGTATACTTACAATGACTTGCCAATATCATGATTGTGTGGTATATATTAAATATATGAAGTAGAATGCAATTGAAATAAAGTATCTCTTTTAAATGTTTTGAACATATCTTATAACTAATTTGTTTTCTTAAAATTAAAATTATTATAGTACATTAACATTAGTCAACTTTAATGCGAGTATTAGGGAACATTAGAAAATAAAGATGATATTTAGAAAAGGGGCCCATGGTTATGACAGCAGGGACAATCAGTTCTAATTTAGAAGGAAGTTGCATTTAAAAGCTTAACTTGTGGGTTTGGTTGTAGCCTAGCCTTTAATGGCCTCGCAATCTCTTTTCTGAAGGGAAAAGGAGAGAAAGTGGATCTCTGGAAGATGGGAGGTGGTGGGGAGTGGAACTGGGAGGAGTAAAGGGAGGAGATAATGTAGTTGGGAGGTAAGAAATGAGAGAAGAATAAATTAAAATAAAAAGGCTTAACTTTTCTTATATTAACTGAGTTTGAGGTCATCCTTAGCCATAAACATTAACCATGCCCCAATAACATTCTATTGTTCGAAGAATAAGGAAAAATGAGGATACTAAAATGAACGAGATATCACCAGCTCTGCAAACAAAAAGCAACAACAACAGAAATCAATAACATCATTTGAGAAGTACAGCAATTCCCTGGCAGGAGAGATGTAAAGTTTTATTCAAAATCTATGGTATGTACTGAATTTAACTGTATTTAAACTGATTGCGACATCCAGGTTAGCTTATTACTGAAGTCCTTCCTGACTTTTGCTCACTAAAATTTCCTTCCAGTCTTTGTAAAAATGTATTGATTTCTGAGAGGAGTTGAAATGTCTGTAAGAGACTATCAGTTCAGTTGTGTGGAATTAAAATTGTGGCTTAGTATCAATACTATGGGAAGGAATTCAGTATGATGAAATCCTTTGCATGGGAGATTTGTATTATGACTGAAATTAATTTCTAAGACTATTGAGAGTGAGAAACAGTCACTGACTTTTTCCATCAATATCTGTCTGCATATACTAGTAGAACTAGAAATAGCAGCAATATTCCTGTATCGAAATTTTTATTTCTAGCTCTCAGAATGTATTTCCCATTTATGAGAGGGGGCTGAGTTGCTTAATTTTAGGCATTTTGAAAGGTTAACATAATATTTCATAAAATATTTCATAAAAGAGAATAAATGCATTCAACCAGAAAATACATTACACAAAGAAAGAAGAAAATTTGATCTATATAATGATCCTATATTTTGATATGTTATGCTATGCAGTAGTTATTAAATTACAAAAGGATTACAGTTGATAGTAAAATATTTCTATATCTTAGATCAGCATACACTGCTGATCTAAATATGTGTCAAGAAGCTTATACTATTCCCTAATAAAAATTACAAAAAATCACACTTAAAAATAAGAAATCAGTCAAATTAACAAATTGACCCTAACCCGGATACTTTTCCTTACTTTTGGGACCCTACTCATCATACTGTGTTGCTTGCACAGTCTTAAAATAAGAGATGGTGTCTACTCATAATAGAACTTGATATGCCCTGTTTATTTGATATCCATGAGAGACCTGCCCTTTTCTAAATAGAGCTAGAGAATAGTGGATTGGGGGACAGAGAGGAAGTGGAAGAGAGGGTCTTGGTGGGGAGAAGAGAGGGAAAACTGCTGTTAGGATGTAAAATAATAATA